TTGCATGTCCCCTGTGGGAAAAAGATACATGGAGCTTTGCTCTTGGGCTTGGAATCCTTTGGACCCCCCTGACCTTTCCCATCTTTGCCTTTGGCTTTGCTATCACCTTTACCTTTACCTTTGGCATCCCCACCTTTACCCTTTGAGCTCTTTGGCGGAGGCGGCTTAGGTGACGACTTCACAGGCGGTGCCACGGCTGCTTTCGCAGAAGGATCCGGCTTTGCCGGAGATGATGGAAGTGCAGAAGCCCGACCACTGCCATCCTTTGGATTGCTTGGCTTTGCCGTTGTGGTCAGCGACTTCTTGACAGACTCTTGGTTGGTGTCTTCTTTCAACTCATCAAGGTATTCACCAAAACGGTTCCAAAGCCAACCAAAAGAACGCTTCTGAGAATTGACACCACTGTCCCTAATACGATCAATGTGTCTTCTCATGCCGTTGCATTTCTTCAATCTTTCGAACAAGAAAATATACTTGGTTTGCTCTGATGGCTGCATGTTTGGCTGGATGCTGTTGAGAATGAACTCTACACGATCATAGAAGAGACGCAGATCAGACTGTGCAAAAGAATCCAACGGGAGCTCAAGAAGAGCCTGCTGTGTCAGCTGTGAACCCCTCATGCGATCCAAGGCAAAAGCTTTCGAAACCTCATGCAACATTCTGCGACCCTTCAATGGCACAGCCTGGAGCTGGGCTCTTTCAAGATAGCCCTGAAACCTCATGCCAATGTTCCCTGACATGTGCTTTGGTTCACTGAGTTGCCCAGCCAGCCATGCATCCAAACGAGGCAAGCCATGAGAAAAGTTCTCAAGGTGAAAAAGGATTTGTTCATTCGAAGGTTCAAAGGCCGTCTGAGCCCATCTCATGATGACTCCCAGGCCCGTCCTGTCGATGGATGACAGCTTTGCTATCAGCGAGTTCCTCCAACCCCGAAAGGCTGAAGCATCCCTTGGAAGACTCGGCACTGACAGGTTTGACAAATCCTTTCCCCTATAGACGTTGTCCTCATCCCCAATGAAAGCACCACCCGGCATAAAATCACCATATGGGTTACCATTCCCTCTTGGTGGATCATCCCCTGGTGGTCCTCCTTCGCCCCCGTTTTGGAGCCCCTGTCTTGCAACAATCAATGGCTGTGCCTGACCATGCCATGACTCATCCGCATCAGGATCATCACTACCATCATCATCGTCATCATCGTCATCGTCCCCTCCATCTCCAGGGTCGCGTGAGGCGAACGCCTGGTGGGAACCCTCATGAAAAACGAAATTATTTGGAGGTGATGGTTGTGGCATGCGAGAACCAGCCAATTGGTTGATCTGGTCCTGCATGGACTTCATAGACTCCCCAATCTGCTGCCCCAATGCCTTGACAGCATCTGTCATGTGAGCCTGAAGCTCTGCTGTCGCACTAGAGGCCTCGGACGGTGCCTTTGGCGTTGGAATCCTGGGTGGCCTACCTGATGTGGATGTTGGGCTTCCATGGACTGGTGACGGATGAACTGGGGGTGGAACATCATGAACAAAATCCGCGCTATTTCGGCTCTCAGTCAACAACTGTTCAATCTGCCTCTGCTGTTGCATCAACTGATCCTGTAAGGCTTGAATCATCTGTTGTTGCAAGTTGATTTGATTTTGTTGTCGTTGATGTTCGGCCGACGCTGTCTGAATGATTTGATGTTGATGCATGTTTTGTTGTCTCAACTCTTCATTCTCAGATGACGCTGTTTCAATGATTTGATTCACTTGTCGTGTTGCTGACTCCACTACCCTGTTCACCTCCACATTTGCCTGAAAAGCTAACCCTTTTGCAACATGCTCCGCCTCCAACACGGCCTTTTGAGCCTGCGCCTGGATGTTGAGGGCTGTTGCCCTGGCTTCGTCTGCTTCCCGTCGAGACTGCTGATCCTCAATGTGCACATGCTGGTGGACCGATCTTTGATCTACAAAGGTCTGATCAACATGATGGTGTTGTTGAATGGATCTCTGATCTATGTGACCTTGTGCAGGTAAACTACCATGAGGGTTCATGAACTCGTCATCGTCATGAAAACCAGGTTGAAAACCAGCACACGCACTGTCTAAACCCGGTGCAGTTGCAACAACACCTACATTGGGTGACGCAGGATGTGCGCTCTGGGTTGATACAGTCAAAACTTTGGGTTTGCCTTTCCTATTGATATTGGATTTCTTAACCCCTTTTCTTTCTGAAGAACTCCTGCTTGATTCCCTGGATGATTGTCGGGAATGACTTCTGCTGGCATTCCCTTGGTGTTCAACCACAGTTGTCATGGCAGCAGCTCGTTCCCCCATCGGCTGTTCTGTGGAGGAAACCATCTGTGAGCTAGATGATATGGAAAGTGAACTTGATTCAGGTGGAGAAAACCCAGTCGACATTGAAAATTTGATCTGGTTTTCGTCCCAAATCTCGCCCCAAAATTGGAGCCCTTTTTGTTGTGCAATCCCGGTCGCAGGATGCGAGCACAGGAGATGTGAAGGTTCTGTCAACTGAAAAACGGGGGTTATGCCAAATCCCTCGCAGGAGAACACAACACAAAAAAAAATGATAAGATTGGAATCGCAATCTGTCTTGGTGGGTTTGCAACAATTAATCAAATACTAAGGTTCGATCGACTCAATGAATGAGGAGAACACAAAGTAAAAGATGAATGTAACCTTTTTTTTTGTTTTATGGAATAATCCGAAGAGTGTACTCACTCCCAATAACCAACTGGTGTGACCCTTTTACTCGACCCTCCCACTGCTCAATCGCGCGTCTCAGCCCTTGATTGCAGTGGATCAATCTCACGAATTGCGAACCTGCCAAGACCCTTCTGCAGTCGCTGATGATGCCCCACTTGTCGTCGATGAAGCACACCCAGAACTTTTCGCCAACAGGGAGTTGTTCTAGGAACTCCGATTTGCACCAGTCAGCTGGGGTTTTGCACTCTCTGATCACCCTCCTGGGCGTGATGACAACTGGGATTGTCACTCTGGTCTCCTGAGCAAGCTGAACAACGCAACTTCGCACGTGTTCAATGGTGTCTGGATCTCGGCAAAAAGATAAACACCCGATGTAAACGCCTTCTCGGGACAAAGTGCGAACAATGGAGCACGATTCTTCCCAATCAAGATCAATGACCCCGTGGAAGTCTAGAAGCGCTAAGGCAATCTGTTTGGAATGTCCACCCTCGATGCCAAAAGCTTGAAGCAGATCGTCTGCTGCTTCCCTAGGACCACTTGCTTGAATCAGCGTTGCCCCTCCAACTCTATGCTGCCGACGAGTCGATGACGAAGGCCGGGGTGATCTTGACCTACTTGGCGGCGGATGGTTGGGCGGTGTCGGCCCTGTGGCTAAAGCTGCAGCTGGTGCAGCGCTTGCTGCCGAACCAGGGCGAAACACAAGTTCAAGGTGTTCCACACTCAACCCCGCGTCGCGTGCGAAGTCTTCTGAGTCTTGAGAATCCGCAATTCGCTTGCCCAATGTTGCTGCAAACTTGATGACCCGATGTAACTGATGAAACAGGTCAGCCTCGCTTGACGTCAACTGCGACTTTTGTCCAAGCGCGTGGTGTGCTTGAGTGAGGGGAAAGAGATACCAGCGTCTGAGTTCTCTCAATCCGGTCTTTCCACCACGAGTCGGCCGAGGGAGTATCTCACTCATACAACGGGGCACAGCAACAAAGACACTAAACAAACAGCACCTGTTTGGGCCAACGTCTGCGTGTCAAGGTCTTTCTTTTCTCTCTTTCTTTAGGGTCACAGTTGGTCTTGTTGTTCCAATTTTCAGGGAGCGCGTCGCCTAAAGCGATCAGCGTCCAGTATTCGATATGGAAGTACGGCTTGTGGGTCGCAGGTGCGAACACCACAGGTTAATGAGTCTTAAGAATGTGAATACGAAAATGAACTTGGAAGATTACGAGCGAGGCTTAGACCAAGCTACTAGCAACCCCAAAGTCTCTTGCTGCACTTATTGGTCAACACAGCGGTCGCAGGAAGCGAACACACTGCTTGCTCACCAAGGCTCTAAATCCAAGATGGGCAGACGCTTCGAGCACGATCCAACCTGTTCAACGCGATTTGTTGGTTGGAAAGATGCCCAAAGACGGGGAATGGATACTCTAAGCAGGTGGGTGGCTCAAGCCCAACAAGTCAAAGATACCCAAAAGATAAAACCAAATATGTAAGGACCACGGCCGTACCCGCTCGGGTGAGCAGGTACGGCTGATAACCAGTTATTCAGTTATTCAATGGTAAAACCACTTGGCGGCAGCAACTGCAAAGGCGCCGCACGGTTTTGCTTGAGCCAAATGTACAACATGTTACATTGATGTGAGACAATGGCGGTTCATGACACTACACTTGAGGAATGTCTTTACATAGTGTATATGTTTCAAACAACTCACAAGAGCAAAATAAACAGAACACGGGAGCAAACATCAGTGCACGAGACAATGCAAGATGACAAAAATGACAGTACGCAACCGTCTGAAGAGACCTGCCAAAAACGTGTTAGAACAACACCCTAAATTATATATAATCCGCCCCCCTATCCTTTCGATTTCAATACAGTAGCTGAATTCCCAACGCGATGCGTTGTTTTTCTGCATTAATTGGCAAGGTCCCCTGGTTGCGACACCTCGTACCGGTCATGAAATCCTTCAATGTTGAAACGCGGCATGTTCATGCATGTTCCTCAAAAAAATGTTCAGCCAAAAAAAACAGTACTGCAGACTATTAGTGGCTATATCGCCAAAAAAAGAACTAAATGGATCACTTCACTTCATCCTTTCCCTTTTTCCTTTGTTCCCTTCATCTATCATGGTCCCGTGCATCCCCTGCCAACAAGAATTGAATCAACAAAAAAAACAAACCAAATAAATACATCCAATCAATATCAAATATGATGATTCTCGTATATTTTCGATCTAATGAAATATTTGGATTTAGTATGCATTTTTGTAACAGCAGGTTCCGATTATTGGAAGGAAGGCGCCCTGCCTTCTTGCCAACGTTGGTCTTCACCGCTTTCGCCGCCTTCTCGGCTTTGTCGGCCTTCGCCTTCTCGGCTTTCTTGGGCGCCATGGCGACACTCGAGGTCTCGAACCAGAAAATTTTCCGCTACGGCGAACCGGGAAATGGCATAGTGTGCCACATTCTCACAAATGTTTGGTATGATTTGACGCTCTTTGGTATCATTCCGGCCGTCCATGTTGAAACAACATGATGCGTCCTGATTCCTTCGAAACGATATGATGCTGTAGGTCAAATATTTGCCATTGATTAAATGTTTCCAACTGTGAACATCGGCAACCCACACGTTTTGAGTGCCAGAAATGATTCACAAACTGGGGTTGCCACAAGTCATTTCGTCTGCTTGAAAGATCTCCAGAAAGGACATGTTGCAGGTGCAAGGGTCCTCACACCACTGTGGTGGTTTCTCGGTGTAGCTAGCTAGAATAAACATGATCGGGTTGGGGACAGCATGAACATATAGCAACACATGGGGCACAAAATCTTTACCATCATCCATTAAATGCTACTACTGCTCGATTATCTCTGAGTCAAAACACGCACGCGTTTCCAACCCAGGAACGGGACAATGATGCTCCTAGATGGCGAAGGAATGGTGGTAGCCATGGCGGGTTGGGCAAATCATGTGATTTGCGCCGTCTTATACATATCGTCCATGCGCAGCTAATACTTACAAATCTTACAAAAATGCCGGTCATTCACCAGAAAACCGATCAACTACTTACCAGCATCATTCAACATCTACATGTTCGGAGATAGGCGAAATGGTTCGACCAATTGCAATGCGTGCTTTTGCATGACGATTTTTTCAGAAAACTTTGGTGCGATGATTATTTCCCGGCGTAAGATGCCAAGTGTATGGGACAGCGTTGCCAATCACAAACGCCAGAAATAGTAGTAGCAATGGTGGTTCAAAAATTGAAACGCTTTGTTATGTTTTGGTTTGGTGTTGTTGTTGCGCAACACAAAATATGAACACAGTTCTTGGCGCAAAGCATCGCAAATCATCAGAAACATTCGTGGTCTCGAAAGCAAGCAGGGATTGAAAATAAACAAAGGCAAACACTCCACACTCCAAACTGTAGACTCCCCTGTGCCCCCTTTACACCTTACGTCCCGCATTCTCAGATTGATCCACCAAAAAAGGCTTCAAATTGCAGCTGGTTCAGGTACAAACGCTGGTAGCCGTTAACAAAAAACATTGCCATCAAATAGCGCAGCTGCGCCACACTACAGTAAATGTACAAAATATTCAAACCCTGCAATACGCACTATGTTGAACCCCGCGCCCCCAAATCTCATCATTCAGCGCGCGTGTTGCCAAAAGTGATGTTGTTTTTTTTTGTCGTCCATTGGGGCTAATGCACTTCAGGTTACATTAATATTGAGTTTTGGGGGGGGAGGTTTGTGCCGGATAGAAGGGGTTTGAATATTTTGTCCATCTACGTCCATCCATTGTCTCGCCCTCTGATGTTTTCAGACCTTTTGGTCTCCAAACTTTGTTCTGGAAACATCACTCTGCATGCTGCTGACTTTATTCCAAACTGCGCAGAACCTTTGCTTTTTCAGAAGTAAATGCCTCCTGCCTGTCTCCCGTCCCATTTCTTTTTCTGCCTCGCGACTTATTATTCCAAGCTGCACAAAACATTTTATTTTAACAGGTGAGTGCAACCTTTGTGTTTTCCGTCCCATTTTCTCTGATTTACTCATTCGCACCTGATTCCAAACTGCAAAATAAGGAGCGTTTTGACAGATGTATGTTTGCATGTGCTCCTCGTCCCATTTTTTCCCATTCCCTAACGCGCAATTTGGTCCAAAACGCGCAAAACAGTATGTTTTCACAGGCAAACGCTGCGTGCCCCTTTCGTCCCTATTCACGACTAATTCGTTTGACGTGGCCTTGCCAATGAATTTTGCAACCTGAACAGCTTGAGACAACTCCTAATTAAAGATAAAAAGAAAAAGAAACCGCGCAACACAAAAAACGTAATCCATTGGCAAAACCACATGAAACGAATTAGTTGTGAATTGGGGAAAAGGAAACAATGGGACGAGAGAGACATGCGGCAACCACCTGTGAAATTACAATGTTTTCCGGATTTTGAAAATAAGTTGTGAATAAAGGAATATGACGAAATGGGACGAGAAACACATGCAGCATGTAGCTGTGAAAACACCAAGTTGTTTGCAGTTTGGAAAAAGTTACGCATTAGGGAATGGAAAGACATGGGACGGGATTCGCAAAGGTGGCACGTATTTGTGAAAACCAAATGTTTTGTGCAGCTTGGGATGAACTGAGAAATAGGAAATAAAAAGGTAGGACGGGAGACAGTCACGAGGCATTTGCTTGTGAAAAGGCAATGTTTTGCGCAGTTTGGAGGCCAAAAGATGTGAAAACATCAGGGGGCGAGGCAATAGATGAACAAAATATTCAAGCCCTGCAACACGCACTATGTTTAACCCCCGCGCCCCTAAATGTCAATGTCTCAGCACGCGTGTTACCAAAAGTGATGTTAGGGTTTTTTTTTCGTCTGTTCGAGCTAACGCACTTCAGGCTACATTAACATTGAACTTTGGGGGGGAGGGGGTTGTACCGGATAGGCCGGATAGAAGAGGTTTCGATATTTCGTCAATCTACGGTAGTTTTTTAGCATGCACAAGGCTGCAACATCGTTTGGACCGACAGGTTTGACAAACAAACCATTGTCAGGTGGCGAACTATTGCAATTTGTTCACGCGTGCGCATGCCACTTGTTCGGAAGGACAATCCGTCAACCAATCCATTCTCAAAGTGCCACATGGCAGTGGCCCTGTGAAGCCTGCCATCACAGACGCCGCGCACGTCCCCCAAACTATTCTCATGCAAGCAAACTAATTCACGCACTTCCATGAAAAGGTATGGAACGAAGGTATGGGTCGTACGTGGTCGTACCTCGAAAAAATCTAGGTTCGCATTTTCTTTACGTGGCACACTATTTTGACATAGTTGCTGGCATACCATTTGGACGGCTAAATTGCCTACATATTGGAACATTATATCTGCAAATTTTTTTTGGCAAATACATTGGCATTCTATCTGGTAAATATTTGTTCTGGTTTTCTACCTGTCATCGATTTTGACAATTTCTAAACATTTTTTGGAGTATACAGTTGCACCAGCATCGAAGTGGTTCCCGACATTTAGCGTCAAAACAAAAACTGCACGGGTGTCTGTCATATTTTTCCCCGATCGTTCCGGCAATTTTTCAATCCAACTGCGCCCTATTCTCATTATTATTGTTTCACAAACCGTGCGAATTTTGTGTGGGCGCATGCATATGCATGCATGCATGCATGCAGCATGCAAATCGATATAAAACACACGTAATTTACTAAAAACTGCAATGGTCATACAATGGCAACATTCAAAATGGGCTAGTCAAAAATGAAACGCTAATTTGCGAACCTGGTGCTGGGCGAACCAATTTTCAAAACACCTCTGCAATGTGGATGTTGTTTATTCCCTACCTGCCAAATGATTTTCTCATCCTCATCTTTCTCCTTCTCCTCGGCGCTGCTGGACGTCAACCGCAAGCGCCAGATCTCAGGGGGGCATTGCCGGAACCTAGGCAGACACCAAGGAAAATGCAAAATAGAATGCAATAATAATGAAGAAAAAGCATCAACAAAATAGTTGCCAGAATAGATGCATTGAACAAATTGTAAATAAAATGTCCGAAAAAATGGCGGATAGAATATCAGAAAACATGCAGTATTTGCCGGAAAGTGTGCCAGAACAGGTGCCAGATACAATGCCAAAAAAAAATGGCCGGTCGCATGTCAAAGTATATGCCAAGTAGAATGTCCAAAAAAATGTGGCGTACATACTTTTATGCAGATGGTATGCTTAAAAAAAATCAAATGTGAAAGGATGTGAATTCAAACATTGCTTTGGTTCCCTTAACCGTAGATGCTGTTCAAGACTTGCTGACATAATGCTTTGATATCATTTGGCATTTTGTGTTTCGAGTGACATTTATTGGAAATGCAAAACGATGCCTAATTTCAACCCTCCCAGTTAGAGACAGGCCACCTTGTGGCACGGTTTGCCATGGCCTCAAAAATATCTCGCAAATTTTGAAAGAATCAACATTTTTCAATTTCCACTTCCCACACATGGTACCGCATGCCCATTTGTTATGAAGCAACACTTTCTCAAACCCAATTCCCTGGCGCTGCCGCATCTCGTGTTTACCATTTTTCTGGCACTAAGGTTGGTACAAAGCAGTCGCATGCGCATTTAAATGACACCTCTGATCGGCGAGTTTTTTGTCGCCATTTTGTTTGGCAAAAACCTCAAACAGTATGAATGGGCGACATCCCAGCTGGGCTGTCCTTGGGAAGTACATAAGGTGGGTCAAGGTTCGGTGTGCGTAGATTATATTTTGTTGATTTTTGTTGCCATGGTCTTCGTTTTAGTTAAGCGTCCGTGAATAAAAATAGAACATAAACTTCTTCACAGGTCCACTGATAGATCCGGAAGGACCTTTTCTGGAGGTCCATTTCGGATTGAGGTTTATTACCGTCAGATTGGGGTTTCATTTAGGGTTTCTTGAAGGTTTCTGTAGCGTTTCAAGTAAGGTTTGATGTCTGGTCAATATATGTACAAGCTTGCCTCTATTGTTCCAGCTCTTTTCTTGACGGCAAGAAATTCCGCCCTAGCTGGAAACCAGATTGGGGGTGCTTTGACACCCGGATGTGAGCTGCTGTCGCGAATGGCATGTTTTTTTGAGTAGCTTTGTCTGAGTGCCTGTAAGGCTTAAAATTGCAATGGGAAAAAAAAAGTAAGGTTTGATGTCGGGAGTCTTTAGGGTGTCATTTCGGGAAAAATATATATATATATATATATATATATTTTTTTTTAAATAGGGTTTCTTATCAGGAATTCTTACCAAGAATTCTGATCAGGATGTTCAAACGTTCATGTGGGTTTCCTTAGGGTTTCTGTACGGTTTCATTTGAGGGAATCATTCAAGTTTTTCTCACGGTTTCATTAAGGGTGTCATGTAAGG